CCTTGCCTTACTAGCGACGCAGGTGTGTATTAGCATATACAGTTTGCACCATAATAGGAAAACTCATCTGCAATAGCCACCATTTTGAAAGCAATGCGGTTATCTTGAGACAAATATTGCAAACCTAAGAAACACTGCATGGAAATATAAAAAACTAAACAAAGCAAAAACCCCCCTCAAAAAAACATTTACACTAAAATAGTCCCCAAAGGACCAGTTTATACTGTTTAAATGACCAAAACTAATTTTAGGTACAGTTACGCTTAAAGTGTATTTTAGCATCTATCATTGAAAAATGACAAACAGTATGACATTAATGTTAGGAAAAGCATCCCATCTCTGGTCCTTTTGCATTTAATGATCACCTCAAACATGCTGTTGAGAATAAGTCTACTCATCTAATAATGTTAATATTTTTTCCCGCCCCAAAAAAAAATAAATAAAAAAATAACAGCTACGTTGTTGTATAAAACTAATCATATACACATTTATATTCAGCTAGCCTCTACTTCAAGTGTAAGTTTAGGAGATTTGTAAACAGGATTTGAAAAAGATGGGGGGAAAAAATCAATAACCGAGTCATTTCTTCTGTCTGTCAAAACTTTTTTTCCCCCCTCAGCTCCTCTAAGGATAAATGAATAACAAACTACACCCTAAAAACCCTTGTTTTATTCTTATGTTTTGTTTTGGGATTTTTTTCTTTGCATGGTGGCCGTCTCATCCTGCTAGTTGATGGCAGAACCATACGGTTAAATCATCTGTTTGGTAATGCAATTTGTGTCTGATGAGAGTTCAATTTTGAAGCACAGCTAACAATAAAGACACCTGCATTGCTCACATGCATACCAAAGTAAATAATAAAATGTTGGATGAATATTAAATGTCACATCTGATTCGGGCTGAGAAGTGCAACATTTTACCTGGATCCTCAGATCTGGATAGATGATGGTGGGTTTATACAACAGAGTTTAATATGTAAATGTTACCTGAAAGAGTTGTAGAATATGCATAGAGCTATTGCCTTGGGAGGTTTGATATTTTCATTTTTCAAACAGCTGGTAATCATAACACCGATATTTAAGAGGAAAATGGAAACGGTACATAGAAAGCTTTTTTAGTTGGAGAAATTTGCAATAAAATCACAGTTTCAATATACATTCAAAAGATTTTTTCTCTATATTGGCTTGTGATGAAAAATCCACCTGCCTAAAGCCTAATCCCACCTCTCACCTATTCAACCACTAAAGATAGGACCCAACCCCCTCATAACCCTGTAGGTATTATGATGGATGGATGGATTGCAGGTGGGTGAAATTACAAGACAACTGCTTCAATTATTTTGCATAAAATTTGGAACAAATTCAGTAAATCCTATTCCAATCCATCACAATCGATCCATATTATAAATACACTATCTAAAAGTTGCCAAAAGATGCCCGGCTCATTTCAGAACGCTTTACTGGTTTAATCATCATATTTTTCAGTAAGCTGTGTTTTCTACCTTTAATTTGTTATCTTAAGGTAATTAAGAATTTGGGCTTTTGTCTGTTTAACAATTTGTTCTACAGCATTTTTGCACCATATGTCTTTGCACTGCTCTGAACTTCCATATCAATGCGTTTTGCACCATGTGTTTCTCCCACGATGTTTATATTTAATCACTGCTGCACTTTATGAAATGGAAATATTCATTTCACTGCTAAGCTGCTGCTCATTTACTGTCTTAAAGCTGTACAAAACGAAATTTCGTTTTGTAAACACTGTTAATACAAAATGACAATAAAAGTTCTCTGAGTCTTAATTTATGTCTGTCTGACCAGATCTCTTCCTGGTCTAATGAGATGTACATGTACAAAACTAAAGGTAAAAGTAGAGAGTTGGCTCCCTGCCCTTTCTCCCTTTGACTGATAAATTCTTACATAGTAGCTCCGCCCTGCTTACAGCAGAGCTTTGCTTTGTCTGACAGGACGGTAGCGTTGTTGCCAATTGCATGTAATTGCATGGTCGACTTTGCTTCTGTTTTGGCTATGGTTCTGTTCACTTGAGTGCTTTCAAGTTTTGTGTTTGCGTCTAATTGAAGTTGAAAGTTAAAATAAATATAAAAAAAAAACGGAATAACTCTTTCATTAAAAAAACAAACAAATAAACTTCCACAAATAATGGCTTATCATAAAGACATTAAATGCAGTCTCTGCTTGGCCTTCTTCAGCAAATCAGAGGTATTCATGCTCCAAATAATGAACTCCTTGATATAGACTCCAAGAAAGTAGAAATTAACCATCCTATCCACACATCGGATCTTTGGAAAAATGCTTATTCATATTTTCTATAATCAGTGATAATAACCTTGGTGTTGGAGTGTATGAAATTGTACCCTGTGCACCTCAGTGTCCCTCATCCTCATAGGCATAATTATACTCCTTAGAGATGAGCCCCATCACTGTAGTTTCATCTGTAAACTTGAACAGAAGTAGAACCAGAAAAGGTGGTTCAACACACAACCTTGTAGGTAGGTGAAGTATGCTGGGGACTGAGTCGCAGTTTGTCCACAAGCCTGATGGTTTTAAATGGTGACTTATGGTCTACATAAAACCTTAGTGTATCCTTAGTGGATGTATTAGTCCTTTAAGGAGACAGGTGGATGTTGACACTTTTTTGGGGGAGTGAAAGGATGTGAGCCCTGAACAGCATTTTAAAGCATTTCAAGACCACTGGTGTCAGTGCCACTGGCCAGTAGTCATTGAGACTGGGAATGTGGGGTTACTTTGGCACAATAGGTAGATCGATTTCAGATATGATGCGACAGTGGGTCGGGGCAGGCAAAGATACAAAAAAAGCCTATTGAGAACTTCTGCCAGCTGCTTTGCCCAAATTCATTGGCAAATGTCACAGTCAAGTACAGCAGCCTTCCTAAGCTGCATAGCCAAGAGAAAGTGCCTCACTTCAGCAACTATCAGCCTGATGCTGTGTTTCATATACAATGGTTATATGATTCTAAAATAATTTGAATACAGATCAGAGCTGTTTAACACTTGGACTAATAATCACCTTTAAATGTCTGTATGATGTCACGTAGACTCACCTCACTGACATATATGGCCACGTCTTCTTCTTCATCTGTCCTGTAGCACAGGGTAAGGCCAAGTTTTTCTTGACTGCTGAGACGACAAAGTTCAACCTCCTACGGAGAAAAAGGGAAGAATAATTTAATAAATCAGCTACCAGCTGGGATGAGTAAACATTTTCTAAACACATTTGAATTGCAGTTAAATTGACATAGAACTGTGCCTAGTCATGCAAGTATTTGATCATCAAATAACTTTAAAACATGGGTAATTTTCTTCCATTATTAGACAACATTAGACATCCTCAGATTTTACAATGTTAATTATACTTGTAGCTAGAGTATGTACATTTGAAACAAATTTGATGCATTTTTTATGTCAATGTTTTATCATTCAACTGTATCATTATTTTACATTGTAATAAAACTTGATTAACTGTAGATATTAATCCTATTATATTATTTTATTCCAATGTTTTGCCAACATCAAGCCACTTTAGTTGAACTCTGCACTTTCACTTTTACCACAACAGGGGTTGCAGCAAAACACCAAACAGCACTAGTCCCTTTCCCATTTCCAAACCTCTGAAACATATCAAGGGTGTTTGAGGGAATCAAGTGTGAAATGGCCTTCCCTCCCAAGGTCTTCATTAGAGCAGAAACACAACGTCTCTCAGCAGCAGGAGCGAAGTGGTTGAGTGGAGAGGACGATGGAGCAGGGTAGAGAGAAATGAGGTGGTTGCAAGAACTCTGGCAGGACTCACAGGGGTCTCGTACAAAGAGAAAAATCCATTTTGTCTGTGACAAGTGTAGGTTGGCTGGTTACATGTGTTAGATATAGCATTGCTTTAGGTATGTGATGGAGAAAGGGGAAGTGATGGGATGAAGGAGAGAAGGAGGAATAGGTCAACACTATGTTGGCTTTTACTTCTTTTGCGGTTTATCATTTCTGGCTTCCTAGAGACACAACATTTTGGCTAGAATACCATTCTTTAAATCTCCTTTAATTCATCTTTCTGTGCTTTAAAGGTGACCATCCATAGGTAAGAATAGACTGATGATGTTTATTCATTTCAGGAACTTAATGAAGAAAGTAAAACTCATATAATGCCTAAAAAAATGTGATGCTCTATGAGAGAAGAAGAAAGAAGTAGACAGAAAACAAGCAAAAAAAAGAGAAAAGAGTGATTTTCATATTATTGTAAAATGTGCAAGTTTGAGATTTTAAATAACCACTCAGTCCTCTAAATTATATTTCTAGAGGTTTTGCATGGTAAACATTGTGTTTAAAGTGAACCTGTTTTGAGTAAAATCTCAATCTGCAAATTCTCTGTTTTGCTCCACATACACACTCTATTCTGTGACCTATGATATATTTATGACTCAAACTATTACAGATTCTCCTCACCAGTATACGATCTACTAACCCTAACAACATAGGATTTATACCTAAGCCTAATGTCACCAAACTAATAACTAAACCAAAAGAAATCTGCGGTTATAAAAAGTGTAGCGCCCCCTTAGGTCAGAATATGATGTAAAACCTTTATTTCTACCTGCATCCCTGCCCAGACTGACCAACTTTTCAAACATTTACAGCTTTTAGCCTGCTGGAAGGTAAAAAAAAAAAAAAAAAAAAAGTTGCTTTCACACAAAACACTTTCCGTAAATTCATGTGATTGTATGAGCTTTGAAGAGTATATAAATATATCAACAAATCTGTGATGAACTACAGCAAAGATAAATTATAACAGCAGAGCACCCCTGACCCCCCCCAACCTGGAAATGAACAATACCACAACACAGCATTTCTTAGTTCATCTGTATTTACTTCCAATACATCTTCTCAATATTAATATTAAAAAAAAAACATATTTAATAATAAGAGGAGAAATTAAAATCTTGAAAAAAATATATAAAGGTATATAATTTTCCACAAACAATGGTACATATACTTTCAATCGATAAGATATGTTACCTGTCAAGAGAAAATTTGACTAAGACAATAAATTTTTAAGAGGTATTAAAATTAAGAAACAAATACATTAAAATGACTAAAAGTGTACTATAGAACTAAGACTCATCCTATAGATGTAGCTAGAATCAAGTTTTTTAATCCCCTTTTACAGCCCTCTATACATAATTGTTGATAGGTATACAGTAGATAAGTCTCTCTATTTATAGTTATCTAGATATGTAAATCTCTCACAGATTAAAACCTATATAACTGCTCTCTTTCAGACTTTTCAGGTCTTTACCTCATATTATATGATCAATTTCTTAAAAATCTGTAACAATGTGAGGGTTAATCCAGTTGCAATCGTGATGCAACTTCCAGGCATCGAAAGCATTGATATTTACCAGATTTGCAATTTCTTTAAATTTTTAACTAAAATATTGTTTGTGTTGTTACAGTAAAGTTTGTGTTGTAATCTTTTGGAGATTTCAAGGATGTTTGTCAGTGCAACGCACTGATATAACACAAATATCATAGAAAAACTACATTTTGTTGGCATGAAGTCTCTGTTTGCAAATACTTTTAAGGAAACTAAAATATGCAAAAGTATTAAAATTCCCAGCTTTTCTTACCACCCAGTTGGCTTCAAATGTGATTTTAAAGATTCTTTAACAGCTGAATTTTCCTTACAGTGCTGTGTACAGCGCCCACATTTGAATGATCACATAGGCCTACTTATTAATCCTTTTTTTGAATTTTAAAAGGTTGACATCACTGCAAAACTTTAAACTCTCCAAGTATTTGTAAATAATTCAAAATGACCCTGACTGGAGTTGCTCCTGCCTTTGCAACAGTTTGGTCACAAATTTTGAATGAATAAGAATGTTTGTTCAGATGAGGCCCCCTTTGATAGATAAACAAAAATTTAACACAGAAATGTGGCGCGACTGATAATGGGGAGTAAATTCATTAAAATACAGTACTTGGTTGTGTCTCCTTTTCAATCAATTGCAGCATCTCTACTGCTTTTGCATGGAGAGGCTGAACCTGTGGGCCTGCCCAGCTGATTCACATTGTAATCTCTGATGCTACCCTTGTCAATGGTTAATACATTTTGTCAGGGGGGGCTTGCTGTCGAAACAAAAATGTGAAACCGAAAGCTAGCAATGTACACACACACCCTATTTTTGAAGCAAATCGTTGAGATTAACAAAATTATTTCTGAAGAAACTTCTATTTTCTCTACATGAAACTTTAAATTTGAATAAAACGCTCAAATAGGTCATTCAAGTGTCTCTGAATTTAGGTTGCTGCAGCTGCAAACTCAACTACAGACACTTATCCTCATAAGTAAATCTGTGCATAAACACAACTCTCAGCTTAAGTACCCTTAAAAGATCATGCATATTTGTAAACTGAAAAAAAAAAAGATGAGAGATATCATCTGGCTGTTATGGAACATTGATAGACACAGTGGCACTTTATCCCAGCTGATAAATAAGGACATAAGTAAGGAAAAACCACAATTTAAGTCTAAAAAAATAGTCATCATCTTTATTAAAGATTTTTTTAATTGATGGGGTTGGTAGGTGGATTATTAAAGCAGCCTCAGAGGCATTAAACCCGTTGTAGCTGTTAATTGGAGGTACTATGTACACATCTTGCATGCTAATATATCGCGTATAGGGATATCAGTGGGACATAGTGAAATTTCTAGAGGTGTCTTTGAGGTGTCTCTAAAAATAAACTCACGCGAATTAGGTGTTGGCTGCGAGATTAAGGAGAAGTGAGAGCAGGTGCTGCATGAGCTCTGTCTGCAAAACAAGCCCCAAGTTACTTTATGACTAATTAATAACTGGATGTAGTGCAGGAGACCTTTTGGTAAAATAATCAGGAGAAACAGATTGTTGCAGTGCACATGCTAAATGAAGCACAGTCTGTGTGTATTTAACAATGTGACCCTTTTTTTCTATTAGATGCCTTTTGAGTATTTTTTGCTGTAAGAAAAACTCCCACTCACTTAGATAGTATGTAAAAGCATCTGAGCGAGTGCTTCATCCTGAACCATCAAAAACACCTCATCCGATTTCTGTCTCTCTACTATCTCTTTTATATATATATATATTTTTTCTCCCTCTGTTTCCTTGCCGAGCTCTCTGCCTCTCAGACAGGAGATTGCAGCGAGTCACGGGACGAGGGCTGACAGTAAATTAATAGCTGGGATGGCGTGATTAAGAAGAAGATTGCTGCCCACCATCAAAGCACATCTGATGCTGTCATGATAATCGTGCCTTTGATTACTGGTAATTGAAAAAGCAGTTGCCAAATGTGTTGATGGCTACCAATGGCAGAATGAGAGGGAAGGCTTTTTTTTTTTTTTTCGAGCCCTGAGTGCTTCACTTCCTCTGAACACACCAAAACAAATCAAGGGGATGGTAACTAACATGGTTCAGTGGCAACACACATCAAGGAGTTTTCTTGAAAAGTATGATGTAGGGCCGTGAAATTGTAGCAATAATAAACGGCTGACAAACTCTAAGAGCCTGAGGGAAGAGCAAAGAGTTGTTTTTTTACGCTCCTGTTGGGAGATACAGAAGCAAAATTAAATTATTGTTATAATACTTCAAAACTTGGTCAATACAATTACCTTATTTCCTTTTCTTTTGCAGATAAAAAAAAAAGGTTTCCAAATGAAATCCAAATTAAAGCAATGTTTTCATAACATGAATTTCATTCAGATATTTTATGTTGGTCTTTATTTATAATGTCCTTAATGTAAAAGAAATCAAATGGCTCCTAATTTTAAAGATGCACAGGATGTTTGCTGATAAGTATAATTGATGTGAAGCTAACAAATCTGTAGCATCTGCATGATGCTATTATGTCAACATAGAACCAACTCTCTGAGGAATGTTTCCAGTACCTTGTTGAATCTATGCCATGAAGGATTAAGGCAGTTCTAAAGACAAAAAAGGACCCAACCTGGTACTCGCAAGGTGTAACTACAGTAGCAGCCATTCAAAATGTCCCTTCCCAGTCAAACACCAGCCAATGGCAGCCCACTTTCCTCCAATTTCCAGCGAAATCCCCTCCAACTTCGAGCTGGAGTGACCCCACTCTTGCAAATTTTCTTACTCTGACTCCACCTTTTCAGTGAATT